TTCCGGACCCCTGTTGAAAAACTGAGATCATTTGTTTTGAGAGGAAGGATAGTGCACCCAGATTTATCGACTAAACATAGTTTTTACATTATCACTAGGTAACTAGTAAGGGTTGTTTTCCAGTGTTGTGTAATATTTTATATTTTATTTACGTGCGTACGTGCGCAAAATTAACGTTCGCAAATTAAATAGACTGCAGTACATGAAAGGTCGCTTGTAAGCGTACAAGTTGAACCTCGCTCAACTTCTCGTTTAAGCTCAGCACTTTTTATCTTGCCTTTATTTTATTTACGTGATTGAAATTTACGTGCGTTAACGTGCGTAGCCAAAAACGCGTCAGTTGAAATCAACCTTAACGAGGGAATAAACGTAAGGGGTCAAATCTCATCTTACCGAAAATTATCTTTGAATTCCTTTGACGTATACATGAGTCTTCGATCTCTACGCAGCTATCGCTAAAACAAAACATGTCAGTCTAGCCTGGTTAAAGATACAAAGAGCTGTTTTAAATACAAAGACGCAATTCTGCATACTTTTTACGAAACTAAAAAGCAGATATCGTTCGATTGTAAACTACTACCTGTCACGAAATAGCCTGCGAAAACATCCGTTTCTCCACGCTCTTCGTCGCTTGGGACGTTTCGCGCGGAGGAACGTCTGCGACTCAGTGGCAAAAATTCCATACTGATGACGCAAATCAATGTTTACATAATAAATCGGGTAGTCATGGGGTTCCAAATACAAATTTGTACAATTTTACGTGTCTTCTGGTCGACTTTGGTAAATGTTTGTGTTCATCTGCCAACGAGCTCCAGCAAAACTCAAATACTTCTTCTAGAGTATATTCTACAAATATTGACTGTTTTGCTAGAGATTCTTCGCGTTTACATTTGACCTCTGTGGCCTTTTGTCTTTTGTCTGTCATTCGTAAATAATAGCTAAAACAATGTAACTACTTCGTCGACCAATCAGCGCTTCTGACCGGATTCTGGACAGATTTTACGTCATTAGTATGGAATTTCTGTCGCTGAATCGCAGACGTTCCTCCTCGCGAAACGTCCCCAGCGGCGAGGAGCGAGGAGAAACGGATGTTTTCGCAGACTAGTCACGAAAGTTCAGGTCTGTTTAGTTTACAACGTTATATTATACTCGCTACTAACATAAGTATACCAGATACTGAGAACTGCTAAAATATCTGAGTCAAGGTCTAGAAACCTGACTTTAATTAAATTTGTGTCGTTTGTTGTGGAAGTCGAGTGAAATAGCAAGAGTGTCAGGTTAACAATTGATACACATTCATGTCAGTTTATTTGCAGTCAACACTTATATGTATAGTATTGCGATGTTCGCTTCACTTTCAACAACTTGTAAACTTACTTCATCTGTGTCAGCACCAGAATTTTCCTGCCCCTCATTAGCTTGTAAAACACTGTTCAAGTACGCTTAAGCAATTTTAGGAGCTTTCTCTTCGATGATCAAGGCCCCCACTCGTTTTTGTCTTTCTCCTTCGAAGTACTTGGAAACGATCTTGGGAAACAAACCGGTCAAAGCTACTACGGACCATAGTTTTCTTAACAGGCTTAACACCGAAATCAAGTTGGATTGTGTAGTAATTAAAAGGTAAAATAAGGAAAAGATTGAAAAGAAATGAACAGAGAGCTTCTCTGATGGGCTTAAGCTCTTCACACGCCAAATAAAAAAGCACGCTCGGGATTTTCACCTCTCCACCGTTATGCTTGTCATCTGAAGGGTTGATTGTGGTGTTCAAGTGCACTTCCTCATGGGAGGTTTGATCAGTTTGTTTCTTGTAATAGTTAAAGATTGTTAGGGAGAGATCATGGTACCTGTCAGTGAATGACTTGTAGTTGCTAATCAAGTAATAACGAAAAAGAAGAAAACAGGCTGCAAATGGAAGACTTTTTTTTCAGGAAACAAATTAATTAAAGTAACATGTTAAAGGATAATAGAAGAGTTAACAGAAAACCCAAAGAAGATGGCAGCAGAAGAAAGAGTGATCTCCTTGGGTGCTATGAGATAAGCTTTCACTAAGTTGGGAGGCTGGGAACACCACAAAACTGGTAAGATGATAATAACATTCTCAACAGATCTGGAAAGAAGGCAAATGCGAGATAAACGTCGGTCTTGGCCTTGGATAGGTATATACGCCTTTATGAAAAAGTGCCATGCTTCAGTGCTTTTTCATTGACTTAAACGCCGATGAGTTCGTCAAAGGAATGTATTTGCATGTTCATTGCCGTTTAACACCGAACCCCAACTGTACTGACCCCATAAATCTAAAAATGCCGACTTATATTGGATGGAGAAATTTTCAAAGACAGATGGATTATAGCCCACTCAGGGAAGGCTATACTGTGGCAAGCATCATGGGAAATCAGCGGAACAGAATTGTGAAGATGACGGTTAATTCTACTGGCTTCTTAAAAGGTGGGAGAGCCACAGAGAGTACTAACCTCAACTGGGGTTTGGCTGAATAAGCCACTCAGGAGTAAGAAGCGAAAACGCCAAGCAATATATGCTTCGATGGGTGTTGATATTATGTTTACAGCCAATGAACCAGACGGTTTTCACGTATAGCTTTTGAAACGAAAAAATAAAGGCAAGATCGAGATAGTGGCTTTCCTATTTCTTGTCCTGTGGCAGTTTGGCATTTGAGAGATTGTTTAGATTAAAAGATTTTTATGACATATTAAGAAGCATTCACGTTCCGATAACATTGTCCTTTAAGAAATCATTTAGTTTTTTTGCGGGAATCCAGCAGCTTTCCAAACATTTTGTTACATGAAAAATAAAGGCTACCAAAAACCCTGAATCCCCAAAAGATGATTTTGAGATCATGCCCAATAACACTCCTAGCCTTAGAACACAATGGAACAGAAACGATTAACACTTAAAGTTATCGAAAACAATTTATTCCTGTCAGAAATCAATGAAAAACGTCTTCAAGCGTGGCATTATATAGGGACCAAGAGCATTACTCACTGGTAAAGATTCGATGTATTAGTAGCCTGCAGTGTAAGCGTAGCAGTTGGAGACAAGCTACACTGCAAAATAGTGCTCAGTGCCGTGAATCAAAGGATTGGCAACTTTTCCAGTTTTCTCAAAGGCTCCACTAAAACGTCAGGATGAAATCATTCGCTTTTCAATGAAAATAAATCTTTGTGAAAGCCAACCTTTAGCAAAATTCAGTGTAATTATCGACAATTAGCACTAAATAACATAATTATTAATAATACAGTTTTTTTTATATAATAGATGTTTCGAAACTGAATAACATCTTTACAGATGTGCCTTTTAAGTATTGCAAACATTTCGATACTCATGATGTGCTTCACTTAAATGACGGCATTGGATTTTTTTCATACGTATTTCCATGAGGCAGAAATGACAGTTGGAAGGACTTGTGACTCAACCATGGGCGTAAAGGCCTTTTGAAAAGGACTGACTGGGAAAAAGGAAACGTATTTATGCTAAAATTTGGCTTTGGCACTTAGGACTTGGACCAATTTTACCGGAAAGTTTCTTAGCATAAAAGATGTCTCAATTCACTTTTTTCTTTATTCAAAATCATAATCTCAGGCAAACTGGTTATTTTAAAACTCCCATCAATTGTTGTTTATTCATTCAACTAGGCATCTTTGTTTATTTCTTGTTGTCATTTTAATCAATCAGCGGTCGTCCAACATGTAACTGTTTAGCTGACCCATACGCGCGCCATCAATCTTCGGCTTCGAATCGAAGAGTAAGCGCTACTGGTAAATAATAATCATTAAAGTCAGTAAAATAGTTAAAAGGGCCCATGACCGCCGCCATTTTGGTTCTTTATTCCCTAATCTTTCCCTTACTCGAAACCAAAGATAAATCGTCTGTCGATTTTATACCCTAAGGTCAGTCTACACGAATAATCCATCCCTAAGTTTTATATGATATTGTAGTTTTTCTAGTACCTACCTAATGGCTTCCTGAATACGTTGTCCATGTTTGTCTCAATAGTTTTGTTTGCAAGTGTTACCTCAGTTTAATTTGTGCATGGTGTTTACTAGGGGCTTTTGGAAAATGGGTTTCGATTAACAAAGAATATATCTTCATTTCTACAAGCCAGTATCCCATATATACCACTAGCATTCAAGGTCTTGGCCTTTATGTAGATGTTGTTCTTCAGTCATCTGTACTCCCCTTATATTTACCTCGTGGGCTGCATAGCAGTTCGTCTAATGGTTACCCCTATTAAACAACAATGACCAGGGGGAAGGTACGGAACGACTAGTAAAAAACTGAAAACATGAATTTGAGTGGAAGGATAGCACACCCAGATTTATCGACTAAACACAGTATTTACATAATCACTAGGTAACTATAACGAAGAAATACACATAAGTGGTCAAAACTCATGTTACCGAAAATTATCTTTCCTTTGACGTATACACGAGTCACCTCTACGCAGCAGGGGCGGATCCAGGATTTTTTTTCAGGAGGGGGTGCACTCGTCTCTTGCTCTACTTCAACACCAATAAACCACATAGTTTTTTTTTTTTGCAGAATACCAGTTGTATTAGAAAACTGCAGGTCATCTCGGGTGCGCACCCCCTGCACCCTCCCCCTAGATCCGCCCCTGCGCAGCTATCGCTCAAACAAAACATGTCACTGAGTCTAGCCTTGTTAAAGATACAAAGAGCTGTTTTAAATACAGTGATGCATTTCTGCCTACTTTTTACGAAACTACAAAGCAGATACCGTTCGATAGTAAATTACTTACCTTAATTAATTTACAACGTGATACTTCATTTAACTCGATATACTCGCTACTAACATTACCTATCAGTACCAGATACTGAGAACTGTTAATGATCTGATTCAAGGTTAAGAAACCTGTCTTTACCTAAATTTGTGTCGTTTGTTGAGGAAATCTAGTGGAATAGCAAAAGTGTCAGGTTAACAATTGACGGACATTCATGTCAGTTTATTTTCAGCGGTCTGAATACTTATATGTGTAGTATTGCGATGTTCTTTTCACTTTCAACAATTTGTAAACTTACTTCATCTGTATCAGCACCAGGAGAATTTTCCTGCCCTTCATTAGCTCGTAAAACACTGTTCAAGTACGCTTCAACAATTTTAGGAGCTTTCTCTTCGATGATCAAGGCTTCCACTTGTTTTTGTCTTTCTCCTTCGAAGTACTTGGAAATTAAGATCTTGGGAAACAAACCAATCAAAACTGCTACCACAGTTTTCGCAAGAGGCTTTACACCGAAATCGAGTTGCATTGTCAAGTAAAAGGCAACGTACAGAAAGCTTGCAATAAAGACGACTTTAAAAACCAATAAACTGAGCGATTCTCTGACAGGCTTAAGCTCCTCACATGCCATATCAAAAAGCTCCTTCGGGATTTTTACCCCTCCACCGTTATGCTTGTCATCTGAACAGTTGTTTGTGGTGTTTATGTCCACTTCCTCTTGGGAGATTTGATCAGTTTGTTTCTTGTAACAGTTAAAGATTGTTAGGGAGAGATCATGGTACCTGTCAGTGAATGAGCTGTAGTTGCTAAACAAGTAGTAACAAAAAAGGAGAAAACAGGCAACAAATGGAAGGCTTTTTTCAGGAAACAAAAGTAACATGTTAAGGCCTAATAGGAGAGTTAACAGAAAACCCATAGAAGCAGACACCAATAGGCAATATCCACCAAGAAATGCTAACCAAAACACACACATTTCCGCAGTGAATACAACGGATATCTTCAACACTGCCGGTAAACGAACAAACATAGAAGACCGGATATGCATCTTCAATAAAAGGGCTTCCCGGGAAATCAAAACATTGGGAGTTGTGGGACCTAAACTAACCAAAGATATTACTAGCAACACTAGAAGAGATAAAATTAAGGCAAATGGAAAAGTGGGCAAAAGAACTAAAACCAAACAAACACGAATAATCCATCGCGCACAACCTTTCCATAAAAGGAAAATTCTTTGAAAATAAATTTGAAGGCCTACAGAGAACAAACTCCAAAATTCAGCCAAAATCAGCGGTTGGATTTTAATATGGTTTAGGATTAGCTGAGGAAGATCAACACACAAACAAGCACCACCAGGGTTAGATTTAAACTCATGACAGGCCATACAATATATACAATTCCTAACTTCTGGCGACACACCTGCAGGGTAAAAGAATAAACAATCAACCCATTTGATAAGGTAGAGGGTCACACAAACGCTCATAAACGGATGGGAAAAGTTGGGAATGTCGATAAAACCAGGAGTTATGTTAAAAGCAGTAATTCCAGGTGCGATAAGAAGGATTAAAAATGCCATGAACAGGAGGCGGACGATAAACATTTCTCCCTTTTGATACCAAGTATATGCGACGGTTGAGCAATCCTTGAAGAATACATTGTTTCCTATCAGAGCTCGAATACTCACCGGACTTGCTCCTTCTAGGACAATATGTCGAATGCCACTTTCCATGACAAGTGTAGGAGAGAAAAGACAAAGTAAAGCTGGGATATAATACGAGCAAACCCAACTGAGTAAAATCAACAAGTGTATGCCTACTTTTCGCCACGGAGTTTGGGTGACGAGTTCATAACCCTTCTCATCGATGGTGGTTGCTGCTTCAGTTCGGAGGTCTGTCGGGCTTGCCAGAATCGTTGGTCTTTCGGGCCCTAAGTTGCAAAATCCTCTGATTTCTCCTTCCTCAAAGCAATTAAGTAGAAAATTCCAAATGCCTATAATTCCCAGAGAAAAGCTATTAAGCGTATTATTTGCCGGTATCCATACAGTATAGTTATCAGTGAAAGTTCCATACGGTTTGTAAGATGTTTGGTTGAGGCACTTGGAGTTGACAAACAGATCGTAGATTACATTAAATTTGACCAGTCTCTTTTTGGTAAAAACGGGATCACATCCTTTGCTGAAGTCAGACTCGGTAATTATACAGTCCCAACCACATCTGGTATCACTGCTGAATCGGTCGAGAAAGTGTTCTTCGCCTGTGCTATGAGATGAGCTTTCGCGAAGTTGGGCAGCTAAGAACACCAAAAAACAGAGCTGGTAAGATGCTAACATTCTCGACAGAACTGGAAAGAAGGCAACTACGATATAAACATCGATCTTGGGCTTGCATAGGAATATACGCGTTTATGGGCAAATATCTGCTATGCTTGAGTGTTTTTTCTTTGTCTCAAAAATCGATGATATCGTCCAAAGGAAATGTATTTGCACGTACATTACTTTTGGACAAAGCATTGAAGTTAGTGTGCCAGAATGCCGTCACAGCTTAATGAATCAAAGTATTTTTGGAGAATGGAGTTGTCTTTAGTCCTATCATATCGATCAACAAAATCAGTTTCCTAGACAGATCTTAAGCCCGCAGTCCACTCAGGCAAGAAGTGATAAAAATCAAGGGAAAAACAGGAAACAATTGTGAAGATGACAGTATTCTGTTAGCCCCCCGAAAGGTGAGAGAGCAACGAAAAGTACTGAGGACAACTGGGATATGATTCGGTCTAGTCTACTCAGCAAGCTTCCTGAAGTAAAATGCGAACGTGCTAAGCAAGCACAATTTATGCTTCGATGAGTATTTTCAAAATTGCTTTCATAGAAAACCACTTATCGAGGTATAAAGTGTGGTATTGGGGTGTGATATTGTGATGACAGCTGGCGAATGAAACATAAAGGTTATCAAGCTTAGAATTTTTAGGGAAAATGCCTAATCGAGATCGTGGCTTTCTCGCGTCGGCGTTGGGTGATTTTCACGCGTGCGTTTCGCACGCTCTACTATCCCTGTGGAAAAATGGGGACTACTCATAGTCTATTTCTGTTAAGGCATCTTTTGGCAGTTAAGAGATTGTTTTGATGAAAGAATTTTTTATTAAATAAGGAGCATTCACGGCCTTTTGAACAATGCTGGCCTTTAAGAGATCATTTAGTATTGTGTGAGAGTTCATCAGCTTTGCAAACATTTTATCACATGAAAAATAACTTATGGAGGCTTCTAAAAACCCTGGAAACCCCAAAAGGTGGTGTTGAGAACGTATTAACTTTCGAAATTTACGTACGTCTATATCATGTCCAATATATTCGAGCCCTAGATTCCCGAAAGTGGCTGATTAATCAAAGTAGTTTTGGAGAATCAAAAACCAACACCACTTAAGTTATCGAAAACAAGATAATTTATTCCTGTCAGAAATCAGTCAAAAATGTCTTCAAGCATGGCAGGTTTTATGGCGACCGACAGCATTACTCACTGGTAAATGCTGGAGATATTACTGGTAGAGTAGTTTTGGCGGAGGCGAGTAGCTCATTGCCGTAATTTGAAGAATCAGCAACTTTTCCAGTTTTCAAAAAGGCTCCAACCAAAATTCAGAATGACTCATTTGCCTTTCAATGAAAACTAATCTTTGTTAAAGCCATTCTTATGCATGCGAACTAATTAGCATTGAACAACTTAGATGATTATTATAGCTGTGCTTCAGTCTTTGGGTATACTCTCTTTCTGTAGTAAAAATTTAAGAATTTGTTCATGCTTAGCGTGCGTATATCGAGTTATGGATGCACGCGGGAAGTTTGGAGAGCACGAAAGATGGGTAAGAGTTCTAGCTTCTTGAGTGCTCTCCAAACTTCCCAAGTGCATCCATAACTCGATATACGCACAGCTTAAAGCATGAGCAAATTCTTTTATAACATAGCTGACAAAAATGCTTGCTTTTTGATTAACTGCAAAATTCTCGTAACGCGCGACACAATAACAAACGGTTCTATTGGCTGATTACGAACACGCCACAATCGTCTAGTTTGAATGAAAATATTCTTTCTGTAAAAGTGAAAAAGAAAATTTGCTTCTTTATTGTTAACGATCAATGGAAACTAAGCAGAAACAAAGGTAAAAGAGTCTTAAAGTTCACCTAAAGTTAAAATACTAACATGTTCGTAAGAAGTCGTGGAGTATGGTTTGGATTTGCTGAAAAGATGTTTACGTTTTGCTCGGCGAAATCCAGAAAACATGTTTTTTAGAGAAGACGACTGTCATCCTTCTTTAAACTTATATTTATTTACGAACATTGGCTGGTCATTACGGCTTCTTGAGAAGACCTGGCAGCGGTTGTTTTTGTGAGTAATAAATTTATGTCTTCTTGTGTAATTTGTGTTGTTATTGCGAGATAAATCTTCCTGCTTTATAAGTCGGATTGTACGGAGATAACAAAGTGCATAACAAATTTAAAAACAACAATAAAAACAGAGATTTTGCCTTTAAATGTTGTTGATGACCAGTTGGTGTTTGTTCTGTTCCCAGTGAATGTCTTTCAGCCAAAATTTGCTGCAGCTGGTCTTCGACAAATTTGCGAAACGCTCAACTTGCGAGTTTTTTTTAATTCGGCTTTATTTTTGCTGCTGTTGGATCGGGACCTAAAAGGTCAATGCCGATAGAAAAATTGGGCAGTTCTTCGCTGGTTTCTCCCATATTTTAAAGAGAAGGAAACGTGCACTGCAGCTTAAAAGACGACAACTTTGCAGCCAGGTAAAAAAAAAATGCTGACGTCATCTTATTTACGCACGCCCGTGCGTAAATAAAGATTTTGTTCATAGCGGCTCAATAGGACTTATATAGGGCAAGCACGCGCGCTATGTTATAAACTGCTTTTTATTATAAGTGTTTCGCAACTGAATCATATAATAACAACAACAACATCTTTTATTTAAACACGGTGGGTTTTAAAGCTAATATAGCTTATGGGGCCGTGTAAAAAATGTTAAGAAAATAAAATAATAAAAATTATTAAAATTGAAGTAGTCAATAAAAGGTGAAATATGTACAATAAAAGATATGAATAGAATTAATAAAAGACGAAATCACTGTCAATTTGGGGACGACCCATTCGCGGTGACTCTTCATTAAAGTACAAGTTTCGGAGGGAGTGAGACTTTTTTGCCCTTTTGGCATAATCCCTGGCGCTGACAGCGGATGGTTCTAAAAGATTCCAAACAATGGATCCTCTGTAAGAAAAAGAGTTTTTCATATAATAAGTTTCAAAACGTTGAACACTAACACGATGTTGATGAGGGAGGTCATACTTAGACTCTTTCCTAGCTTTGGATTATATGTTCCAAACATGATGGAGTTATGCGGTTGTATATATTATAAATTAAGGTGGCTATTTTGACCTTATAAGTGTCGAATAAAGAGTCCCAGTTAGCTGTTTTTCTTACATCCTCAGAGGGCATGTCGCGCGGGAGGTTATATATAACTCTAGCAGCCCTACAATGTATAGATTCCAAAGAGTTAAATTCATTTTTTATTTGTACAACTCCCCCAAATTGGTAACGCATATGTAACCGAGGGTAAAATGACTTTAAAATATAAATCTAAAAGCGAATTCCTGGGTAAAAAGCGGCTGCGTTTGATTAGATTGAGCTTGTTGACGAACCCTTTCTTGAGCTCTGATATGTGTTTTGTCCACGTAAGCTTGTTGTCAATGGTTACACCTAACAGCTTAGAGCTTGAGGACCATTTTATGAGATGCTGGTTAATTTTTAAACTGCCTAAGGGACCGATAAAATGATTTCGTTTAAGGATCATTCCCTCGCACTTTTTGGGGTGTGGTACCAGGGAGTTGTGTTTGCACCATAGGGCGAGTTCCTCTAGAGCTTTGTGCAGCGTTGCTGTGACCTGGTCTACGGATTCACCAACACAGTAGTACATAGTAGTATCATCAGCGTACAGGAACGTCGTTGCAGTGTTAACTGCTTTCGGTAGATCGCTTGTGTACAAGGCGAAGAGTATGGGGCAGGGTACGTACAGATCTACCTTTGCAACACTTATATGTAAACATTGTGATACTTGATATGGTTTTTGAACATTTCATAAGTATTTTCATGACACTGAAATGACAGTAGGAAGAGTTTGCGGCCTTTTGTAGCTATGGACGTACTGAAGACCATCATGGTCCAAATTCATGAATACTGTTAGAAGCAATACGTTGAATCTGGTTCAACGTCTCCTTAACTGACGGTCCTGGATGTCGTCTTCGATGGCATTTGAGGAGGGTTGAATGATTTCGATAGAAACGCACTGAGAATGAAATGAAGCACAGTCCACCATGTTCACACTTTATTACACTGATTTATTGTCTAACCAACCTGCAACCCTACCCGGTTCATGTTGGTCCAAATTCATCCAACACTGTTGGTTCAACGTCTCGTTAAACGGTGTTGGATGTCGTCTTCAGTAGATGGCATTTGAGTAGGGTTGAATTATTTCGATGTAAACGCATCCAGTATGAAATAAAAAAAAAACAACTTACCGCCTTTAGTCCACAATGATCACACTTCATTTTACACTGATTTATCCTCCAACAAAACTGTAACCTTACAGGGTTGCACAGACTATTTCTTATTGCCATTTCAATAGTTAAATGAAATCATTAAAATCCTTAAAAGGGCCATAATGAACGGCGCCAATTTGGTTCCTTTTTCTTAAACCTTTCCCTTACTTGAAACAAAGATAGTTCGTCTGTCGATTTTATACCCAAACGTCAGTCTAAACGGATAATCCATCCCTAGTTTTATAATATATTGCAGTTTCTCTAGTTTTCTAGTGTCGCTGTATAAAGATTTTTACCTTCAAAAAACCTAATGGCTTCCTGAATATGTTGTCCATGTTTGACTCAACAGTTTTGTTTGCAACTGTTCTCTCAGTTTGTGCATGGTGTTTACTAGGGGCTTTTGGAAATGGGTCTTGACTTAACGAAGAATATATCTACAAGTATCCCCTATATACCACCAGAATTCAAAGTCTTGGCCTTTCTGTAGATGTTGTTCTTAGTCATCTGTATGTACTTCCCTTATATTTACCTCTTCAAGGCTGAATAGCAGTTCGTCTAATGTTTCCCCCTCAGTGTAACAAAGATCAGGGGGAAGATACGGAACGCCAAGTAAAAAAGGAATATAAACGAAAATCGTCAAATCTCATCTTACCGAAAATTATCTTGAAGTTCCTTTGACCTATACATGAGAGCTCTACGCAGTTATCGCTAAATCAAAACATGTCAGTCTAGCCTTGTTAAAGATACAAAGAGCTGTTTTAAATACAAAGATGCAATTCTGTATACTTTTTACGAAACTACAAAGCAGATATCGTTCGATTGTAAACTACTGCCTGTCACGAAAGCTCAGGTCTGTCTAATTTACAAGGTTACACTTCATTTAACTCGATATAATCGCTACTCACATAATTATCAATACCAGATACTGAAAACTGCTAAATTATCCGAGTCAAGGTCTAGAAACCTGATTTTACCTAACTTTGTGTCGTTTGTTGTGGAAATCGAGTGGAATAGTAAGAGTGGCAGGTTAACAACTGACGAAAACCCTAATTCACCGTATCCTACATCCGAGCCCACAGCGAATAACTATGTAACCGGACAAGCTAAACAATTTCTGTGCATCCACGGCGGAACGCACTATTGGCATCAGCGCCCACCATGTTGATTATTACGCCTCAATTATAAACTTGATTCAATCACTCCCTACAAATTCTGATAACAGGTTTCAAATCAGGACCGTTCCTCTCAAAAGAGGTCATCCATGA